CACTGCACAGGAAAACAACAGCACAAATGAAAGCAAAACGAGAGGTGAAGGAAACACATCACACTTCCAGAAGTGATTTTGGAAAGCACAAAGCCAGGATGTTGTTTCTTTTTAGGGACTGAGTAGTCTGACATGTTGCAAAATACAAAGGCTTGGCATATTCCCAGCAGCAGAGGGAAAAGTGGAGCTCCCCAGAAGCGAAACCTGTCATTAGCAGTCAGCCAGGCAGAACAGGCTCCTGAGTGCCAGGAACAGGCATGGAAGGGAGGGAGGACTGAGCAGCATAAAGGAGCTTTTCTCACCCTGGCAGTCTTGTGGAGGGGAGCAGAAGGCTGTGAGGGCAGCATGTGGGATTGGGATGCTCCCAGAGTTCTTCAAAGGGCAGCAAGGAGCTGCTGTTCCCCCTCACACACACCAGCCCCCAAGTCCTATTCTTCTACATAGGCCATGGGTCTGCTCCCCAAAAAATCAGGATAGTTTTGACCTGCAGTTTTCCTCCCTTTTGTTTTCACTCAATTATGCTTAGCTGCCCTGAGAAATCTCTTTTTACATGTCCTCCCCAGTCCTTGCTGTGATCCGTGTCATCCTGGAGGCATGTAATAATTTAGACTGAAAGCTGTGCTGTGCAGCTCTGTTCTCCACAGCTTCACAGGCTGGAGGAAGTATTGATGTGCCCTGATTTATCTCCCACAGATGTCATCTCCCTAGGAGTGGACTTGAAGGACAGAGAGGCACAGAAAACTGAATCTGGGAAGTACCTGATTTAGAAAGAAAGGAGGAGAAAATTTTACAGACCAGGTTGGATGGATGCAGGGAACATTATAACTCTGCAAACCCGGTGATCCAAGGAGTTGGCACCATGAATTGTGATGTTGCTGTTGCCATGTGCAAGCTCTCAGGATATCTTTATGTTTTCCAAAGGAACCTCCTAAAATTAAGAGTACTTTTACACTGATGCTCATTTAGACCTTGTAGCAACCTTCCAGTATGTGAAGGGGGCCTACAGGGAAGACAGAGAGAGACTCTCCATCAGGAACTGTAGCAACAGGACGAGGAGTAACGAGTACAGATTCAAAGAGGGGAAACTTTTTTACTGTGAGGGTAGCTAGACACTGTCACAGGTTGTCCAGAGAGGTCATGGAGGCCACAACCCTGGCATCCAGGCCAGGCTGGATGGGGCTTTGGGCAACCTGGTCTGGTGGGAGATGTCCCTGCCCATGGGAGGAGGAGTGGGACTAGGTGATCTTTAGGGTCCATGCTAACCCCTTAACATTCTGTGATTCCCCATCAGGGCCAACCAACTTATGAAGGTAAGAAGATGAGGAGAGGGTTGTATTTAAGGCACGTAGATGTGGCACTTGGGGACGTGGTTTAGTGGTGGGCTTGGCAGTGCTGGGTTAATGGCTGGAGTCAATGATCTTAAAGGTCTTTAATCTAATCTAAAGTACTCTATGGCTCTTTGTTGTGGCTGTCCCCACAGCAGCAAGCACAGACACGCTGTCAGGCTGAGCCCCAGGGAGCAGCACCCAGCCCCAGTGCTGAGCAGGCAGCTGGGGAGGCAGAGCGTGGGTGCTGCAGGCATGGTCAGACACAGGCACTGGGGACATTGCTTCATCACCAAACCCCCTCTCTGCCCTGGGAAACAAAATGCAAAGCTCCCCTTCTTCTGGCAAAAGGTGAGGTGTATTCAGCTGTCCTGTCTGGTTTTGTCAGGGCACTTTCCTTCCCTTGTCAACACAGTCTAAATAGCCTCTGTGGGCCAGCCAGATAGATGGGTTCCATTTCAGTCCTTGTCTGTCTCACTCTGCTGAGATCATTTACCTGCTAACAAGCTCCTGTGGTCAGAGATAAAAGGCAAAACCAGCAGCCCTTTAAGGATGTATCTGAACATTTTTGCAACACTTTGCTTCATGGAAAATATGGAAAGATGTTGCATTCACAATATATCACTCTCATCTGTGTTTGTAAACAGATTTATCACACCATCTGCAAAGTCGTATTGCCATCTCCATATTGATTTCTTTTCCATTTATATCGTACAGCTCCTGTTCATTTTATTCCCTTTTTACAATTAGATACATTAGCTACCTTTATGCTTTCCTACAAAAAGGGTGTGCTCTCTGTAGGGAAGAATATTTAATCAATCCAGTTTGTTCATTTTGGTGCATGAAAACACAAGCCAGGACTGTTTGGAGAGGTGCTGTCTGGTTCTGTTTCTCATCTCTTCACATCTGTGCAGAGCAGGTGGGAGGGAAGGATAATTCAGAACAAATCTGCTGGTAAACAGGATGCTCTCTCAGTATTTCCTGTCTCCTGTTGCACTGGTGGAGCTAATTTTCAGGAATCAGCTAAGCCTGAGGTCAGTAATGCTGTTGTAATTTCTCTGACTTGCTGTAGCTGATACAGTATAATACAAATACGATATAATGAGGTATTCATACATCTGGGGGCAAAAAGTCAGCCTGTCTTGTTATCTGGCTGGATAAGAAATGTTTATTCATGTTCAAACGAAAAAAGTGATTTGCTGAGTATAAAAAGAAGTCACACAAGAGAAGAGGAGCTTGCAATTGGCAGCCACTTGTGCAGCCCCACGGGCTGACCAGCACCCAGGTCAGATGGTCCTCAGTACTGCCCTACACTGAAGGGCCAGCTTGACCCCAGCTCTGGAAGAGATGGCTGGGCTCCATGCACAGCCTGGAGGAGAATTTGACTGCAGGTGGACCTCTCCAGCCCCATGAGTGTAGATTTGCAGTCCCCATGACTGGTGAGAGGTGTAGGATGCTGCTCCATCCCCAGGGCTGTGAACCTGGGGCTCTGAACTTTTGCTTCTCTCCCTCCAGTGAGGAAGGATTTCTCTTCTTTGCATCAAGCCTAACCCAGATTCCTGGGCTTGAATACAGGGGTGGGACTGGGGTTGACTAATCCCAAAAAGAATTTTACCAAGAGTGAGTAAGGGCTCTGGACTGCAGGGAGTGATGACAAATCTTGGAAACTCAAGCCTGTGCTTTGGCAGGGAGGTTTGTTTGGGGATTGGTTGGGTTGGTTTTTTTATGGTCCTTTTTATCACTTTTCAGCTGTACAGTGTGTTCTCAGATGGTATATTTGCCACTTCATGTTTTTGGATCGTGACCATCATTTTTTCAGTTAACAGAATAGGGAGCAACTGGGTGCTTGGCCAGCTTCTTTCCCACTGAAGCAAAAGAAAACTCTGCAAGAGAGTTTCTCCAGAGCTCTCTAAATGGATTTTCTGTCACCAAACCCTGCTATCTCTTCCACCCCTTTGACCTCTCAGTGCAGACTTTGATGCTGTGACCTGTCAGAAAGTCCCACCATCACATTTTCTCAGAGAAATTTTTCAGGTGTCCTACCCCATCACACTTTGCATCTTTCCAAGAGGCATATTTAGGCCTATAATATCATGCCTGTCACTAATCAGTAAGCAAATCTTTTGGCTGTATATTTGCCAAGGGGAGATTGCCAGAATAACTCTTTGGGTAAAACAGAAGCCATGCAGCTCTGCTGCAGGGAAGGAGCCAGGACCTTTCTCAATGGCACAGTCTCCAGGAAAAATCGCAAGCAGACTTTAAAATGAGATTTTTTTTTCCAAGCAGTGTAAAGGGTCCATCCTTTATCTTAGCTTTTTGGAAGAAAAAAAAAAAAACCAACCTTCTGGAGATTACTTAGTTTCGATTTTTCAAGCATTTTTTTCTAGTCACTGTTGGGCTAGAAAGCCTTGTGCTGGAGCTGGGAAGGGAAAATAAGTCTCCTATAATCTCTTCAGTCCCCTAAGTGCTGAGCTTTGGGGCCAACTGGCCCCAGGATATTTTGAGCTTTGCAGACTGAGCAGCCATGGGGAACAGAGGTACTGGTGGTGTGGTAGGATGGGGAGGTAGCATCAATTTTTGTGGGGCAAACTGTCATCTGTGGGAGTAATTCAGCTTTATAACAAAATCACAGATTCATAGAATATTCTGAGTTGGAAGGGACCCACAAGGATCATCAAATCCAACTCTTAAGTGAGCGGCCTATATGGGGATCAAATCCACGGCCTTGGCATTATTAGCATGGTGCTGTGACCAACTGAGCTAATCTCAGTGGCCAGAACCACTGCATGCAGCTTCCAAAAGGACCTGCATGGTATGACTTGATCCCTCTGAGTCTGAAAAATAATCATCCTGCCTAAAACCATAAAATCTGGCACCAAGAGTTACACTTGGCTTTGCAGTTTCTCTGTGCTGAATCAGTTCCTGGCCTTCCTTGCTGCTGATGGCCTGACTGGACAGGCCATGTTCTCCAGGGGGACAGGCCATTGCTCCCCATCTCCAGAAAAGTGCTCTGCTGATTTTGTAGCCAGCCTCCTGCTGCTGTACCTGCACTCACAGCCTGTCAGGCTCTCTCACACTATCAGGCATAAACACCATGTGTACAAACATATTTGCAATTACAGCAGACAGGAAGGGATTGAGTGCTATAAAATCAACCTCAACATCAGTCAAAAGAAAACAAAGTGAAAAAGGAACACGGTAATCAGATGCTCTTATGAGCAAGACATGCTCAAAATGATTTCTCCATCCCATTACAAATTCTTAGAAACTGCACAGCCTCTCCAGCACAGTGAGATTTTGAAGTGGTTTAATGGGCATTAGGAGATCAGAGCTGATAATGCTGCTTCCAACCTTTTCCTTTCACTGCATGAAAATAGGTAGTAGCAATTGACTGGTGTAAATTGGCTACTTTTAAAGCTGTATTTGCTGGCCTGGATGTGCTAAAAGTCTCTCCACAGAGTCTTGAGAGGCTGACTGTAATGTGTGTGGTTGAGGTGGGGATATAGTGAGTTTCTTCAACACAGGACTGGTTCCAGTGTATGCCCTACATGCTGGAGAGCTGGGACCTGCTGTAGTTGGGATTTACATTCCAATTACTGGATAAAAAGCAAGGCTACTGGATCGTTTTTGGTATTCCAGACAAACTTCTCACTTTGTCTTTTCTTTTTCTTTCAGAACAAGCCAGTCACAATGTCAGTCAAAAAGGAAGGTGCCCACAAGAAGTGGGCTGCCCTGAAGGAGAAACTCGGACCCCAGGAGACCGACCAGTCAGAGGCCAACCTGGAAAATGCAGAGCCAGAGCTGTGCATCCGCCTCCTGCAAATGCCCTCAGTGGTGAACTACTCTGGGCTGAGGAAGAGGCTGGAGAACAGCGACGATGCCTGGATGGTTCAGTTCCTGGAGCTGTCCGGGCTGGATCTCCTCCTGGAGGCCCTGGACAGGCTGTCAGGGCGAGGAGTGGCCAGGATATCCGATGCCTTGCTTCAGCTCACCTGCATTAGCTGTGTGCGAGCGGTCATGAACTCCCACAAAGGCATAGAATACATTGTGAGCAACGAGGGCTACGTCAGAAAACTCTTCCAAGGTGAGGAGACGCCTTCCTGCTTCATCCATCACATGCAGCACTGGGGGGGGGGGGCATTTTCCTGTTGCTTATCCTCCTGCCCTGCACCAGGCTAGTTGGAAATGGTTGGTCACAAGTGATTAATGAGATTATTTCTTCTTTAAAATAAAACTGCTATGAAATCACATTGCCTTTGCCACCCAGTGCTGTTTCCACACAAATATTGTCATAGTTTACTGAGAAGCTGGTAATAAGCCCAGCCTTATCTGTATACAGGCATGAGAAATCTTCAGCCCTTTGGTTGTCAGCAGACATTTGCTATTCAATCTTTGAGAGCCCCAAGGGCAGAGGAAAGGAACTGAAAGGGCTTAAAGTCTTGTAGCCTGTAAAGAGGAGGGAAAGTGGCATGTTTGGATTCAAGAGAGCCTGCTCTCTGTGCTGCTCACTCTGCTCCTGTTGAAACATTGTGGGTAACACCACTTACATTCTCCTGCCATTCACTTGGCTCATTGTTAGCTTTGAAATTCATCAGGGCATCTTGTAGGACTTATTATACAGCACTTAATGGTGCTGGAAGGATAACTTCTGTACCCAGAAACCATTATTAATAGCTTTTGAAAATGCATTTAGTCTGAAAGCTGACTTGCTTCCCTCTTCAGTTTTGAAGTCCCCTTCTTTCCTCTTCAGCCTGTGTTTTCTTACCTTATATAAAATATGAACCTGGCATTTTTGTACTGTGAAAACAGGGGGGTATCCTGGATTTTCAGTGTTGGAGCTTCTTTGTGCTCTAATATAGGAAAAATACAACAGCTCCCAGGGCTCACAGAGAAAGAGTAATGCAAAAAGGGAATGCATGGGACCCCTTGGAACAATTGCTCTAGCTCATATGCATATTGAGCTTTTCTGCACAAAAAATAAGAGTCATTAATCAAAGAAAATTGTTTATCTGCTGTTCTAGAAGATAGCCATATGCGAAAATGGGAAATAAATTTTGTGAGTGCTGACAAATCTTGGCTGTTGTTGCAGTATGTCGCTGGGACATGGAAAAGATGAATAACTACAAGCTGCACCAAAATGCCAATGGGATACCTGTAGCATTTACTGTTCCCACTAGAATTTACCATCACATAATGCTATTGGGATGAGATATCTGTACATTAAGATATTTCTCTTCCTATCTTCCATTGTAATGGGTCCCTTCCTTCAGTCTCTTTTCTGCTACTGCTCGTAATTCGTATAGCAGAAGACACTGAGATTCAAAATATTAATGTCATTATAAATTCTGCTTTGTTCTGTTCTGTTTTTCCTACAGCACTTGACACAACTAATGTCATGGTCAAAAAGCAAATATTTGAGCTCCTGGCTGCACTGTGCATTTACTCATCAGATGGCCACTCTTTGGCTCTGGATGCTTTGGACCATTACAAGGCAAGTGTTTGGTTGGAGTAGGAGGAATGGCTTGGCTTTGATCCATGCAGACAGATCCATGTACCACAGAAAAGGGTGGGAATATAGTTTATTTTGGTAAGAGAAAGTAGGGGTACCATTGTTTTGGTAAGAGAAGTAGGGGTTTATAAGGTGAAAGCTGTAGGAAGTTTTTTGTGGTCAGTGTAGGTCTGCGGTGCTGTTCTGTGACTCGTGTGGACAGATGGCTGCCAACCACAAGGTGCTTTCTGGCAGCAAAAGCACCACCAGATCAGCAGAATAAATGCTGCCACATCCACAGGTTTCACTGCCCACGAGCTCAGGTACATGCATCAGTTACCAGAAAGCAGAAAGGGATCCAGGAGGTGTTTCCAATGACTTTTTGTGCCAGCCAGCCCCTGCTCCATAATGGAGGAGTGCTGCTTTTACTCATGTCTTCCTGTCCTGTGGGCAGTGGGATAAACTGAGGATTCCAGATGCTAATTCCATCTAAGAGCCTGCCCCACAGCCATGGGATTTAGGTCTGTATAGAGCATCCTTGTGATTGTAGCAGTTGTGCTACCCACAGAGTGTGAAGAACCAGCAGTATCGATTCAGCATCATAATGAACGAGCTGTCCAACACAGACAATGTGCCATACATGGTGACACTGCTGAGTGCTATCAATGCCATCATCCTGGGGAAAGAAGAGCTGAGAACAAGGACACAAATCAGGAACGAGTTCATAGGTAAGGATGTTTGTTACACCTTTCCCTGGAGGAAGTCAGTGACCAAATGGGGTTTTTTCAGATGTATCCATAAGGTGCCTGGAGAGGCTGGGGAGCAAAACTGCAAATATTAATTTTCTTTGGTGTTTTGACCTTTATTAACAGCCTTTCTGTCAACAGATTTTTTTTTTTTTTTTTTACTTTGCTGCTTTTCCATAGCTTTGATCTTTTCTGGAATCCCAGGAGCACTGTATCACTTGAGCTTCTTCAGAGCATTTCTATAACCAACCATCACATCTCCATATATTGCAACTACTTGTAAGAGTTGATAAAATTTCTTCACTCTGTGTCTACTCAGTTGAACCACAGAGGCTTTCCCATGGTTCAGAACTTTCCAGCTGCTAGAATCCCAGGCTCCTAGGTACTATTGTTGGGATTCACCTCACATGCTGGGTGCATCTGAGTTGATGAGCCTGGGCTCCATTTCTCTCCATGGAGATCAAGGAACATTTGATGGTATCAGACTGATTTTAAATATCTAATTTGGGCTGACGTCACATGCCTCAAAAGTGCCTGTGTCACTCAGTAACCCCAGGGGGAGTGTGCAGTGGTTCACACAGGTGCTGCAGATGTGGTGTCTCATCATTTACCAGATGACTCTACCCATTTTGATAGATCCATCTGAAGATATTTTCACTTTTTCTCTCTACAAAAAGTTTTTATGAGCATAACATATATAAAGATCATAACAAATAAGTACTAAGTGGGCCATAATGCAACTATATCTATTTTTTTTTTCACCTACCAGGGCTTCAGCTGTTGGATGTTTTAGACAAGCTAAGGTAAGGGTCTCTACTTAAATTTTCTTTAAAATTAGATTCACAGTGAAGTAGCTTTGGAAATTTAATACTTACCCAACCTTCTGTTCTGTGAGGTGCAGTGTTCTTGGGTGGAGTGGACCATGCTTGTGTGCACCCATTCCATGGGAGCTAGAGGCACTTGGCCAGTGTTAAGATGCTCTTGCCAACCACAGTGTCACAGGGACAGCTGTTGGCACAGATGGCATGCACAGAGCTCTGGGCACAGATGGAGCAGCAATGTCCTCATTGAGGCTGTTTCAGACTGAATCTGAAGCAGTGCTGTGGGTTCACTGAGCAGCTTGCTGCGTTCAACACCACTGCTGCTGTTGGTCCCAGAAGCATCCAGCTAAAACAATTTACTAATGTATATCTGAATGTAATTTAAAAATTATGTTCTATCAGAAACATCTGTGATAAATTCTAAAATGAAGTTTATGTGAGTTGCAGTTATCCGTGTAACTGGAATTGCTCAATCCAACACCATAAAAAATTAGGGAAGAGAAAGTCTTTTATTAGAGCAGAAGCTGTTAAATTCTAATGCTGTGCAGTCTTGAGAGTACTGAAAAAGTCAGATTTACAGTGTCTGTGCTTTTTAAAATCCAGTTTTGAATAACAGAGAAGGAGGTTTTTGAAAAAAAAAAAAAATCACTCGAATATTTTCAATTAGTCTTGACTTTAAAAAAATGAAGGTGGCAGCCTGGTTGCAAAAGGGTCAGAATGCCACTCTGATGTTACAACTCCAAGGAGAATTCCATAGCCAGCCTGTGCTGGGCCAAGTTAAGCCATGAGAAGTCTCGTTCCTTTGTATGTATTGATTGTAGGAAGAGGTACATTCTGTTCAGGAAAGGATGCATGGGTGACATCCCATCCTTTATAAATCAGGCAGAGCTGGATACTTTCAACACCAACTGGCTGAGTCCAAGAGGCAAAGAGATAAAAGCCACTTAATAAAAACAGTCATCTGAAAATTAGTGAAGGGCTCTCCAATGAAAACAAATGCTGTAATATTGCAGAGACATTGAGGAGGAGGATCTGCTTATCCAGTGTGACACATTTGAGGAGTTCAAAATAGAGGATGATGAGGAATTATTAAGGATATGTGATGGCATAAACATGAATGATCATCATGAGGTCTTTTCATCTCTCTTCAACAAAGTAAGTTGCCCCTCGCATGGGGTGCGAGGCCCCACATGGCCAAGTTAATCCACTTTGCTGGGAGCCAGCCTTGCTGTGACAGAAGCTGCTCTGTCTTCCAGGTGAGCCGCTCTCCAGTCTCTGTCCAGCTGCTGTCCATCCTGCAGAGCCTGCTGCACCTGGAACCCTCTCATCACTCCAGCCTCCTGCTCTGGGAGTCCTTGGATGCCGTAGTGAACAGAGCCCTTTTACTCGCCAATGACAGTAAGAACGACATATCCATCCAGCCTTGCACACTCCTCTTGTTTTCCCTTGTCCCATAAAAGTCTTTCCCCCAGTGTGCAGGAAACAATCTGTGGGACTTGGTGAGAGCTGAACAGAAGTGAGACAAAGCTCTGCCTTCTGTATAAGGTCAAGTGAAGGTTCATTCCTGTGGGTGGCCACATTTAGCAGTGAGCTTGGGATTCACAGTCTTGTTTTAATGGTAAATCCCTGAGCTTTGGCTCATGGGAGTCAGTGGGAATCTGTCCTCACTGGCATCCTGCCACTGGTGCTGGCCTGTCTTGCAGGCAGGCATGCTATGAAGTGTTTGTGGGCTGGGCACATGGGAAGGAAATGGCCTAGAAGTGAAAAGTGTAGTTGTGTAAAGTGACACCAGGAAATGGACTCTCCACGGCTCCAGATCTACTGCTTGGTGAGGGTTGAATAGCATGAAGCAGCCTGTGGGCCTTGTTCCCTTCCCTGACCCTGACTCGTTTCTCTAGTCCAAGGGAACACAGTTGAAGAAGTCATTGAGAGGCTGCTGTCTATCAAAAAACATCCAAACAAGCAAAAGCGAGCTGAGAACCGCCTGTCTGGGAGCGCAGCTGGAGCTGTGCAGGCTGAACCAGAGCCATGTGCACGTGCAGCTCGGTGTCCAGTGGGATCATCAAACCCCACCAGGGCACCAGCAACATCCTCAGGGCCACTGGACAACGAAAAGAAGATCTCATCCTGCCAGTTCACAGCCTGCTGTGCCCTGCCAGAGAAATCCAACCCTCCCTCCAACACTGCTCCCAACCCGGCACCTCCAGCCCCACCACCTCTACCCTCTGGCACAGCAGCCATGACCCCCTCATCCCCCATGACAAATGCACCTCCAGCCCCTCCACTCCCTGGCATCCCTCCCCCTCCACCCCCATTGCCTGGCATGGGTATTCCTTCTCCCCCTCCTCCTCCTCCTCCACCTCCACCCCCACTGCCTGGCATGGGGGGTATTCCACCCCCTCCAGCTCCATTACCTGGCATGGGGGGTATTCCTCCTCCTCCACCCCCACTGCCTGGCATGGTTGGTATCCCACCCCCTCCACCTCCATTACCTGGCATGGGTGGTATCCCACCCCCTCCACCCCCATTACCTGGCATGGGTGGTATCCCTCCTCCTCCACCCCCACTGCCTGGCATGGGTGGTATCCCTCCCCCTCCACCTCCATTACCTGGCATGGGTGGCATGCCTCCTCCTCCACCCCTCCTTCCTGGCATGGCAGGAGATTACATAGAAGCCGTGGTGGCCTCCCAGTTCAGCTGTCCCCTGGGCTTGGGCAGGCCTCCCCACAAGACAGTGAAGACACCAACGCTGAGAATGAAGAAGCTGAACTGGCAGAAGCTGCCCTCCAACGTGGTGAGAGGTGGGTGCTTCTGGCATAGTCACTAAAGCTGCTTTAGGGTGCTTTACTTGGCTGCTTTTGCTTCCCAGGGGAAGAAATACTATCTTAAAGTTTGTCAGATGTGGTTAACTCTGTTTAGATACAGAACTTTCCTGATTTCCTTTACTTTTGACCTACAAAGCTGATATAAAAGTAATATGAAACTACCAATGTAATAGTAGCTATTCCAACTGAATTAGTACTTTGGCATAGCTTGTTTATTACTAAAATACTTTGAACTTAAAAGAAGAGAAAGGGATGGGAATGTTTTCCTGTTCACTATGACATGCTTTAGATCCAGCTGTGATCTGAGTTCCCAAATTTTTATTACCTAGCTCAACTGTGCTTGTATCTGGGTATATTAAAGTCATGATTAAGAGTGAATGTGAGGATCACATCACATCTCTCTTGATTTTTGGGTTACATTTCCCTCTACTAGTGGATTCAAAGTGGAACATGAAATGTGAGAAGAAACTTTGACAAGCTGTGTCAGCTTTGTCCTAGACAAGCAAGGCATCCACTGCATGAAAGTAGGCAGAGGTGAAATCTAAATAAGGCATGTCTTCAATCACAGGAGCAGTAAAAAGTTTGGATTATTTCAGTAGAGGCTTTTACAGGCATGTTAGGGTGATGATTTCTTTTTTAAGCTATAAGAAATTTAAGTAGAAATTAATTCAAGCAGTCCTGTAGCCAGGAGGCTTGAGCATAAAAATGAAAAATGGAGAAGGACATATTCAGAAAATGTCCAAGTTGTGCCCAGACCCTCTGTTAGGATGTAAGGGAGCAAAAATTATATCAACCAGGGAACTAGAAACAAAATGTCTGAGCATGCTGATCCAGTTTGTCCATCATGGAGGAAAACACAGTTTTACAGGGAGGGATGGGGCAGTACAGCCTCTGTGTGCCCAGTGCTGCCTCCTCCTAGCAAGTTTATTGCCCTTCAGCCCCTTTGGATCCCACCTGTGACACTTGCCCCTCCTCAGTAATGACCATTTATCCAGGACTAATATGTCTCTTCTTATTTCATTCATGTCCTGAAGAGTGTCCCTGCTGGCAGCTCACCTTGTCCCAGGCAGCAGGAGCTTTCAGCTGTGCCTGCAGCCAGTCTGAACACTTTTTCTTTCTTTCAGAGAGCCACTCAATGTGGGCTTCTGTGAGCAGCAGCAGCGAGGAAACGATAGAGCCCAACTACAGCAGCATTGAGCAGCTGTTCTGCTTCCCACAGCCAACCCCCAAGGAGAAGGCAGCAGCACCAGTGAAGGCAGAGCCGAAGGAGGTGAGGAGACCCCCTCGTTTTTCCGAGTAAAGATCCCTGCAGACAGCTCATCTAATATGAGATATCTTCTTTTTCTTTAATGAAGATCACATTTTTGGACTCCAAGAAAAGTCTCAATTTGAACATATTTTTGAAGCAGTTTAAATGGTAAGATATGGCCAGTTTTCGTGACAGTTGGCAAAATTTTGAGCAGGTTTTGCAGTATCAGGAAATCTGTTCTAGCCAATGTGCTTTGGTGGTCCATGCTACTAAACATTGCCCATTTTTTCCTACACTGTCTTTAAAAAACTGAGTTTAAGGGTTTAATTCTGTTTTTACATACAACTTTCCCATATGTTGGCAAAGGAGTTACGTCTCCATTTTACAGATGAAGTTGTGGCACAGACTCTTAGGGTGACACAGACTGTGACACATACCTGGAGGTAAAATCCCTCCTCAAATCAGGGCCAGTGGACAAATTAAGAGTTCCATTTTCTTTTAAGATAAAAAAATGCTCAGGGACAGGATCTCAGTTGTAGGATTCATCTCTGGCCTTGAGTCGTTTGATCAGGGTCATAAATAAGATTTGGGTCATAGCGGGGATCTGGGTCCTGATTCTAGGTAAATTGTGGGGAGATACCTTTCCTTTTGGATTATTGTGACTCTTTACTAGGGAAAGCACAGAGTGCTTGCACAGATAAATCTCTTGCTAGTGTGTGATAGGTGAAAAGTGGTCTTTGGTTGATGGCTGGCTCTGCTCCTCCTCCCTGCAGCTCCAATGAAGAGGTGACTGCCATGATCCAGAATGGGGACCGGACCAAGTTTGATGTTGAGGTTCTGAAGCAGTTGCTGAAGCTGCTGCCTGAAAAGCATGAGGTCAGGAGGAAAACACTGCCCTTGGTTCACAGAGCTGAACACATAGAGCAGCCCTGCAGTCTTGATTCTTTATTTCTCATTAGATAGAAAACCTGAAGGCCTTCAAAGAGGAGAAAGCAAAGCTAGCAAATGCAGATCAGTTCTATCTTCTCCTTCTTCAGATTCCCAGGTAAAGTTGTTACCCATAAACTTCAGCCCAATCTGTTTCTTGATTTACCTCTGGGAAGTTTAAGTTTCTTTATAGGAGCCTCACAGACTGATGGATATAACTAGTGGGTTTTCCTTTCCATCTTGGAGCTATCCCATTCCCTGTTACCCTTAGATGAAGGGCTCTTCCTGATCCAGCACATCCTCGCCCTCTGAACCAGCTGAAGCTGGCCCAGACTCAGGGTCAGATGTGCCCAAGGAGGCTCCATAACTTGGTGAAAGGCAGTGCCAAATGCAGTGCCAAGAAGGGGAAACCCTTCTCTTTGCTGATCACAATGCACCAGCAGAACCTACATCGCTGCTGGTCCTCAGGGCCAGCAGCAGCCCCTCGCCTCCCTGCACGGGCCACAGCAGTGGTTTGTGTGGATGTGGTTGACAGCAGTGTTGTGGGGTGCCATGGGCTTGCTGGTGATGTAGGAAAGGAGCTGCTGTGCTGGCTGAGATCTCAGTGCCCTTATGCTGAGAATCCATCTCCACCCTTAGCTACCAGCTGCGCATCGAGTGTATGCTGATCTGTGAAGAGACCACCGTCGTGCTCGACATGATCCAGCCCAAAGCTGAAGCCATCCGAAGAGCCTGTGAAGGTATAGATGACCTGAGCTTATTTGTGGGTCTGATTTAAGACTGGAAATTTTAACCCCCACAAAACTTCCCTGGAGCTCTGCCCTGTTACCTCCAAAACTCCCCTGGAGCTCTGCAGTATTACTACCCAAACCCCAAAGAACTCCTGTGTGGTCCATTCACTGGTTTGCTGCAAATGGGATGCAGCTTTAGGTATCTCCACTGATGGTCAAAACCCCTAACAGGACCAAAGGTTCTTTTCTCTCATCCTCATCCCTTTTTTTCTGCAGCAGATGTATTCCTCTGAAGCACTTTGAATAGTAAAGTGCTGGAAGTTCATCAGCCCTTTCAAAGGAGCTGAATTTAGACAGCAGAGCTGGCCCTGCTGCAGCTAATTCATCCATCCAGCATTATTTCCCAAATTAAGAACTTCATAAAGCAATTTTCTCTGCTGCCAGAAAACTTCCCCCAAAAGTAGCGATGCTTTAGTATTTCCCTGCCTAGAAATGGAACCAGAAGAAAGAGGTTGTTATTTTGGGTTATTAATTGCTGATGCTGCAATATGGTGAGTACACAAAAAGTTTATGCAATAGATTTTGGCTTCCTTAGGCAGAAACCTTTGGTCCCACTCCTCGCCTGTCCTACAGAGCCAGTTCCCCTAACTCCTGCTGGGGGTTTCTCCAGCTGGCATTACAGCTGTCTGCTGGCATAAATTGAAGCTTCCCCCAGAGTGACTTCCCATCAGCCCAGCAGTTCTTTTGGAGCTGTTCCTACCTCAAAGCTGAGTGCTTCAGAAAGCACAGCACTGCAGCACTCTGTCATAAGAGCAAGGACAGGGACTGTACTCTTCACCCCTGGTCGATAATCATCTTTACCATGAGAGACCCAGGAACAGGGTGGGTATGTCCAGTTTTAGCAGGTGATCATAGTGCAGTCAGAACTGGCTTCACAGCACAGCTAAATGAAGTTGGCAAGATTCAGTTTGCAGCCCAGTTACCCTTGCCCACACTGGGAAACTTCCAGGGAAGGCAGGACCTTGGTTGCTGTTAGTGGGGAGGATCCAACTGCAGGTTATTTGCCATTAGGAAATGAGAGACCAGATGTAAAGAAAGAAACATAAGTCAACGAGGACTTTGACAACCCATGGAACTGAATCTGCATGGAGTCAGTTTCTCTGCTGGTTGGTCATTGGGCTGCAAAGCCAAAATACCAAATTTGATTTAGTAGAATTCAGAATCCAAATTTCAGTGCAGTTTAGAAAATGTTCTGGTGTAACAGAGGCTATTGCTTAAAAGCCCCTTATGTTTTTCAGATCTTCTGACCAGTCATCGCCTGCCAATATTTTGTCAACTGATTCTCAAAGTTGGAAACTTCCTGAACTACGTAAGGACTTTTTTTGTCTTCTCCTCCCCCCATTACAGTCTGTGAATGATCTTCTTTAGGGTTGTAATTTGGATGAACACAGGAGTTACATCTGCTTTTTTTCTCTCTTGTAGGGAAGTCACACAGGCGATGCCGATGGGTTTAAAATCAGCACTTTACTCAAACTAACAGAAACCAAAGCCAACCAAACCCGCATTACACTGCTCCACCATATTCTAGAGGTACCACTGCCAAGTCCTGCACAGTAGGGAAGAGGGAGGGTTTTATCACAGATGAAGCATTTCTCCTACTCTACTGCTGGCTAATGCCACATGCTCATACTCACGTCCTCCCTGGCAAGCCCCAGAGTGTCACAAGTCAGGAGAATTTGAATCACTTTGGTGACTCTGGTGGAGGCTGCTTGTGGTCACTACTTCTTATTTTAAGACTTGCTCTGCTTCCCTCCAGCATCTTTTCCACAGTGTCTGCAACTTCCTTTCATATTTGTGCAATCTGCACATCAGCAGCTGCAAACCACAGAGCACAAAGCTGTCCTGGCTCATCTGTACCCATTCAGTCTTTTTGCCTTTCCACGAACTTTTTTTTTTTTTTCCTCCAGATTGTGCTCAGGCTTTTCATGCTTCTCTCTAAGTCCCCATGGCTTTCCTACTCCCTGCAAAGCTGTTTTTATCTTTTTTCTCCATGCTCTGCTCTGCCACCTTCATTCATCAATGTCCCTTGTTTCAGTTACTCATGTTCAAGCCCCACTTTAGCTGGCAGTAGCTTCAGTAAGTACAGCTATGAAAGTAAAAAATGCAAGACTCAAGGCCTTTTAGTACCTTTCTGGTACTGTGGGAAGTGTCAGATTGCATCAAACCACAGTCCTACCTCCCTCTATGCTCAAGAAGAGCTCTGCTTTGCTTTGAACTATGAGTATTTCTGAGGGTTTAGTACTCTTCTATGTTTCTACAGCAGGGGAAACACCTTTCCTCTCTGAATGTGCAAACTACAGTTAGAGGGGCAGTAGCAGAACACAGCACAATCATCCTTCCTGGACACTTCTGTCCCTCTGTCTTCCCCTCAGCTTCCCCTCAGCTCCTGCCACACATCAAATAACATTTCTTTCTCTCTTCCTCTTCAGGAAGTAGAAAACAGCCACAAGGACCTACTGGAACTGCCAAAGGATCTTGAATATGTTTCAAAAGCAGCAGGGTAAAATTGTGTGTCACTTCCTTTGAATTAAAAACAAAAATAAATCCCATGCACATCAACAATGTACCAGAAATTAGGACACACACAGCTGGTATAGATATTAACAAGATGGCATCTTACATAGTTTTAACTGAAGATTTGGTTGATGAATGTTGAAAGCCCTTTAATATATAATAATTCTACTACAGCTGGCAACACTTAGGACTGAAATTTGCAGAGCAGTCATTTAAAACTGCCTCCCAGACCGTTCTGAAATGTGCTCTGCCTTTGTGGTGGCAGGAGCTGGTGAAGGTCAGCTACCCAGAAGCATTTCTGAAGTACCTCCAGGCAGGGACAGTGAGCTAACACTGAGCACAGGTGGAGAACAGCCTTTTGAATGGGTGGACTTTTTTTGGCATTCATCTACCCAGTGCACAGAATTGTAGGTAGGCCTGGCAGCCTTTCCCTGTGGAGGGAAGCTGTTTTCCCTGAGCTTGGACTGCATAGAGAGTTCAGAGCACAGGGTTCAGTTCAGTGAAGTGGCGGGAAGCAAAGGGGTGACCAAACCACCAGTTCAGACTTGTCCACTCCTTGGTCAGCTCGAGATGCTGGAGTATCAAACTAATGGCAGGGTTCTGTGTGATTTCAGAATTAATCTTGATATTATCCGCACGGAGTCCGGTGCCAATTTAAAGAAGTTGCTGGAGCTTCAGCGGAAAGTCTTATCATCAAATGAGGATGTGAAACAACAGTATGAGAAACCCATCCAGGTCAGTAATGGAGCTGCCTTAGATCTCCCCATTACACAGAGAGGTGGTGCATGGTACATCTGCAGCAGAGGAGCCTCATGAGAGGGGAGAAAATACTGCCACAAGACATGCTCTCAAATTTGGAAATAGGATGCAATGCTGCACAACCCAAATACACATTTGCCAGCTGCACCCCAAACCTAGATACCTTTGGTGAGGCTTGTTAGGGTGTGTGCCCCAACTGCTCTGTCCATGCTTCTGTGTGACACCTCACTTCAAGACAGGATGGTCACCTTCTGTGTGGATCACCACAGTGAAGCCCTTTGCTTGGGATTAAGCTTTGCACGGAGCTTTCCATGTCTTGCTCAAAACACCCCTGTAAACTGGCGCAGTGCAGTTGCCAAGAGTAAAGATCATCTGCAAATCTTAATTTCTTCCCACCTGCTTTCCAAAAGCTGCAGTTAAAAGCCAGGACCCAGAGTCCTGTTTTAAGCTTTAATCCTTTCTCTGTGTGTGCACTTCACTCATCTTCTGGATGGTGTTTTACTTTGTGCATTTAATGCATTTCAGGACAGCATTGATGCCTCCAGAAAGCTTGAAGAAGAATTTGAAACCATTGAAAAGAAGAGAGAAGAACTTGCAAATTATCTGTGTGAAGATCCAAGCAAGTTGTCCTTAGAGGACATATTTAGCATCATGAAGACCTTCAGAGATCTCTTCATCCGAGCCCTGAAGGTTGGCATCTGCACACAGGATGCTGAGCATCCCTAGTGCTGGATGCTGCCTCCACTCCAATGGACAGGGTGGGATGGGCACCCCAAATCCCGGGGGGAATCTGGTTACAGCCTTCTCCTTTTGGCACTTGGCATGAGGTCTCCCAGTGAAACAGTGTCTGATCCCTCCTCCACTGCATCCTCATGCAGTTCTGGTGCTGCTGGGCCTGGCCCAAAGGATTTATGATTTTGTTGCAACTTCAGCTGCAGAGTCAGTCACAAAGATGTTTTTGGGCCAAGTGTGCAAGTTTTAGAGAAAGGGGCTTACAAAACTTAACCCTTTGCTCCAGCCTGAGCAAACAGTCTCAGAAGGGGGATGTGTAGTAAAAAAGCCACCTGTTTGGAAAAAACTGTGGCTTCAGCAGCTCCCATTTTCACCTCAGCTAGAGCTCAGGCAGCTGTGTGAGGCATATCACCACTGCCACCTCTGACTGGGACGTGGCAGAGTCCTGGCCAAGTCAGCAGTCCCCCCTCACCATTTTGCTAAGACAGCCCTTATTGCCAATGCCCATTTTATTTGTTGCACAGGATTTCTCTGAGAAGTCAGAATTTCTCTTCCTTCATCTGTAGATCTCCTTTCTCTTAATCAGCTTCTTTAGCAGACATTTACCCAACTTTCTCATGCCACTGTTACCTCCCTGCAGGAAAACAAGGACAGAAAGGAGCAAGCTGCCAAAGCAGAGAAGAGGAAAAAACAGCTAGAAGAGGAAGAGGGGAAGAGACAGAAGGGAGAAAATGGAAAAGTCAGTGAGTATCTGAAATGGCTTCAGAAAATAGAGATGGAGCCATAGGAGCTCTTTGGTGGTCCTGTTTTAATGGACCAGTACTAGTAATTTACTTTGTAGGTTCCTAGGTGCTGACTGACTAAAGGTTTTTAGGTGTCTTACAGCCATAGCTAAGAATTGATTTTCCACAGTTGCAGCTGGGCAGAGAAGTTAATTTTAGGTTTGCTGACTGAACAGCAAAGAAGAAAGAAAATCACCACAAATTAAATATTTCAGTTAACTTTTCCAGTTTCTAAACATAACTTTTGAATCCCAAACCTAAAAAGAAACATTTGACTTATCCACCATCCAAGGTCTCCATATACACTTAAATAGTCTCTCTTTACCACAGTTGTCCCAAAAATCTTGCATGTTGCTTAAATATGCCTTCTTCTGGATGAAAATGAAAGACTGAAAAATGCAATTGGAAGAAGCTGAGAGAAAAGAAAAATCAAAATTATTTTTCTTCCAATAAAAACGGTTCCTACCAACACTGATAACAAACAGGGAATATTTCACAGTCATGGGACAACCAGGGACATGTCCAGGAGAGCTGGTGCCACTGGTGCCAGGCTGTAGCACCAGGACTTGGGAGCAAATCCCTTGTCTTCAGCCAGGATGGGCTGCTGTGGGATCACAGAGCACTGGCTGCTCCCACGTCTGGTGTAGGTGCCTTGCTCCTGCCCAGTGGCTGCTTGTGCTGGGACAGCAGTGGCATCACTGCAGGCTCCTCCTGGCTTGTCTCAGGGCAGGTGTAACGCCCATCTCTCTCCCCCAGTCAAGAAGGGGCTGCTGAAGCAGGAGGAGGTGTGTGTCATCGACGCCCTGCTCGCCGACATAAGGAAAGGGTTCACGCTGAGGAAGACGAAGAGCAGACACGAGTCAGAGGCAGTTCCTAAACCCTTGTCTGCAGAGAGCCCTGAGGAAAGCCAGTCTGGTAAGGACACAGACCTGACTGTACCTGCAGCTATTCATTCCCATCTGCCTCTGAACCTGAGCCAAGCAGGCACCAGCGAGAAGCCTTTGTCTTTGCATTTGGGGCATTTTATTTAAGAAGGCTTTGCAGCCAGCGCCAAGGAGAAGAGGAGCAGAGAGCCTTGAGCTGTTGCTAGCCAGCCCTGTCCCAAAATTAGCAGGAATTTGGAGCAGCATGGCCCTACATCTGTGTAGATAAACCCTCTGAGGTGCGTGACCCACGTGTCAGTCATGGCACCATGCTGATGGGGCACTGCTGTTATCCCCACACAAGTCCTCTCCATGCTCTCAAGTCTCAGTAGCACAGTGTGCTTCTGCCTTGGAGACTGCTGCATCCCATCTTAGTCTACACTTGGGAGACTGAAGTCCTTTAAAAAACATAAGAAACCCTATTTGCAGAAATACCCAAGTCCCTTAGATGCTTGTGAGGAGACAGCCCATGGGTTTAGCTTTTCTTTGGTCTCTTGACCTCAGTGCCAGTGCAGTTAGGCAAGTCCAAGGACATTGGTGTGTCCATGGCTCTCCTGGACCTGCTCTGCAAGGGCAGGTTAAGGCTGGCTAATGGACAGTCTTGAAGTCCTCACACAGCCAAGTCCAGCCTAGTCCAGGACCTCACAGGCAGGTTCTCTCTTCTGCTTTAGACTTTCAGGCTTCCTTGCAAGTCCTGGAGCCTCCATGGAAATCACTCATTTTGTAGCAAAGACACATTAACACCTGTTGGAAACAAATCAGGGGCTTTGCTGAGCTGGAGCCCGGAGTCCAGCTGGGCTGACCACATGGGTATAAGAAGGGAGGTACAGGGAGGATAAACTGGTGCTGCCTCGGCTTAGCTGCTTTAGGGTCAGTGCTCCCTCCACAGAGAACTGCTAACCTGTAACCTCTGCAGGGTAGGTGCCTCTTAGGTGATTCCTGGTAAAACTGACTGTGTATTTTCTGTTTAAAGGACAGAGCATGAAGGATCCACAAGCAGCAGGGAAGCAGATTGATGACAAAACCAAGCAAAACAAGGATGATCATCCCTCAGAAAGCACTCCTCCCTCAACCAAGATGGAGACAGGTGGAGGTGTTACAAAGGCTTCAGCTCCAGGCCAGGTATTGTCTCCAAACAGTGCTGGAGGAAGTCTGCCACTGGAGTCCCAGACCAAAAGCCCCTCAGTGAGCACGGTGGAAGCTGATGGAGCCAGTCAGACCATGCTGGGCCCCAGGATGGAGCAGGCAAACAACGTGGAAAGCCTCCAGCCCAGCACAAAGAGCGGCTCCGTTGCCTTCTCTGTGGCTGACATAGGCACAAGGATAAGCTTTGTGAGCAGCAGTTCAGCCTCTGCTCTGAGAGACCAGCTCAGCTGGACTAAGGGGTCCATGTCAGCAGGCCAGGACAAGGAATGCCCAGCTGATGGCTCAGAGAGTGCTCAGCCTGCTCCCTGCAACGAGGCTCAGCAGGCAGAGTCAAAAGAAATGACAAAGGAAAACGAAGACCCTGGTACAGACTCGCTGTTGGACACGTCTCACGACAAATCCTTCTCAGAGGAGCCAGCCACCGACTCCTCTTGCTCAGCAACACTTCCCCCAGAGCAAACTCACAGTGACAGGGAAAAGCAGAGGTCATCAGGGAAACGGAAGAAGAAGAAGAGGCACAGCAAAAGCTACTCAGGTAGTCTATTTTATAAATAGCCCTCGGGACTGACTTAAATGTGGGAACCTTCCTGATATATTTGTATACTTCTTTCCACTTCAAAGCCCAATGCCCCTACCCCTAGAGTCACACTGTTTTGTACAGCTATTAGAGCTTTAAAAACACAAGCATAGTTCATTCTGGTGACATGTATAAGTAGTTTATAAAGGAGTAATGATGAATCAATAATTCAAAAGCCCATTACAGATATGCAGTAAAGATGGCAATAAGCACATCTGTCAAGTGTGCTAAAGACAGCTGCAAGGCACGGTTATGTGCAAACAAGAGCTCCATTAGGCTCCAGAGCAGTGATTAAGAGCAGTTAATACTTGGTACTTAATCAGCAATCACCCCTCTGAACTACTTATAAACACATAAAAGCAGCAACATCAATGCTGCCTTGAGGTTGTTTGGTTTTTTCCCCTCATTGCCACAGCACTTTGCCTGACAACCTGCCCCAAGGGTACTTTAGGTGGCTTCTAAATATCAGGCCCTCAAACCATTGCTGCAGAGGGAGGGGGAAAGGTCAGTCCCTGAAAAAGAGCATCTTGCTGATGCTCCCACCAAGGATCCATCCTCCAGCTGGGCTGCTGGGGCTGGGAGGGAGCTCAGCTCCTGGAGCCACACAGGCCTCCCTCTTCTTACCAAAAGTCCTCAGCCAGTCCCAAACCTGGGAAGAATGTCCAAGTTCTTTAGATCCTACCACCCTGGGGTGAGTACCCTTACTCCCAAATTGGAGATGCCTCGTAGGGAAGGCAGATGGGTCTGTCAGCCTTTAGAACTTACAATATGCTTTCCAAAACCTGTTTCCTGCAGGATCCTGAGGTCCAACAAATGGACAGGCAAATGGGAAAGTCTCTTTTTACCAATGCTTGATGTTTTTTCTTTTAAGGAGGGTGGAGGAGAAAGGAAAGGAGGGTTTGAATACCCATTAGACAGCATAGGTTGAGCATCTACCACAGAGGGACTTAACCTTTTAATGCAGCATGCCCCAGGGTTGTGGTAATTTACATTTCTAAACGTGTCACTTTCCCCTGGTTAAAAACAAGCCACAAAAGAGAAGTTGTTTCCTGTAATGTTGGTTCCTGACCTTGCTTCATCTGAGGAGCAGAAGCTGCAGCAGTGGGAGCATCCTGTGCTCCCAACCCTGGCAATGCTTTCCTGACACCTGAAATTAGGACTTCTGGCTTAAGAACTGACCCCAGCCTGCAAAAGCCACAGGGCTCCCTGGGCATCTAGGGATGGCATCAAGAGGGCTGGAACTACATGATCTTTAAGGTCCCTTCCAACCCAAACCATTCAAAGATTCTATATTCTTAGGGACCTCTCTGCTACTAGACAGTATTTTCATCATAAAAAGTTCCCTGTTTTTACCTTGGCCTTGCCATGATCAGATATATTTAGTGTCTCTCTTTTGTTCAAAAGCAGAGATTGAGACTGATACTGGAGATAATAAAACAAAAAAAAATTGTGTGGCACAATGAGGTATGTAAACTTACAAAGATTTTTTTTGTGAACTAACCACAGCACTGGGACTTCACAGACCTAATCAGTATTCAGCATGTCACCTAAGCTTTTTGTCTTTGTGTCTAATCACAAACACATCTGAAATAAATTTGTTACTCTGATTTTTACTCTCCGGGGTGTTGATCTTGCGTTGAGTGGAGTCAGTGCTGATCTCCATTCGACACAGGGTCACAGCCCACATGTTTGTCCTCTGTGTCAGCAGCAGCCAAACTGCTTCTCCCTGCAGATAATTAAAAGCCATTATTCTAACCAAACAATCAGACTTCATGTGATGAACAAAGTCCTTGCTTTGATCACATTATTTTCTCAAAAACTGTAAAAATGCAATTTCAGTACCTACCTCCAGCAAAGAACATTTGGTTTGCTTGTGGGTAGCCATTTTCTATAGCACTGTTTAAATATGGGAAAGGGAATAATTTATTCCTGGAAAAGGGGAATAAAGGGAATAAAACACTGGACCCAGGGACAAATACTAGTTGGGGCAAGATACCAGCTCCCACTCAAAGCTAAATTCAACTCCAGAGTTGCACACAAGTTCCCTGCACCCTTCACTAACGCTGGCAACATACGGTTGCCCCTCAAAAGGAGTTCTAGGATGAGACTTTCATTTGCAAAACTTCCCCTGTTTTTACAGCAAGTGGAAAGAAAAGCAAGAAAAATAAACAACTGAAACACCCACTGTACTGAAATTGCATAGTTACGCATTGTGCTTTCCATGCTGATGAGCATCTCTTATGAACTAAGTCAATATTATCAAATCTCTTTGTCTTGTTTCCTGAAAGGAATGTATTTATTGTCCAGCATCCCCAGTCCCCTGGGGCTGGGAGCCCAGCTGGGAGCCCTGCTCCTGCACAGAGACAGGAGGGATCTGTGCAGCATTTCCCCACAGGACTGCTTTTGTTCCTGCACATGGAGCATCACTGCTAGCAAGAGAAAATGGGATATGCATTGGGTAGTTACAGTCCTCACTACTCCTGCCCTCCTTTTGGCCCTTTTCTTGCAGTACCATAGGATTACATGAAGTAGCTCTGTTGGTTTAAAAATCCTAAGGAATATTTCCTGCTGGAACAGAAAACAGTAACAATGAAGCATGGGTGAGAAGTATGCCACCACCAGAGGACACGCTGCTGAAGGGCAGCTGGAACCATGAGTTAACTCAATTTTTTCTTTTAAGCATACAGGCTTTAAAAAAGTCATATTTGAAAAAAAAATATACAAACCACAGTTTTGCTTTGTCCTAGGAAGATGTAGAAATTCAGCACAAACAAATGCATGGCCATACAGTACCTTTATGGAATCAGGCAGGAGTTTCACTGCATCTTTGGAATGCAGTGCCTGGCATTGCATCAGCAGAGCTTGCCTGGGCTTTGATGCCAGGAGGGCAGCAATGAGTTTGAAACCTGCACTTCTCTTTTTCCTTTTCTTCTTCTGTACGTCACACAGCAAGGAAAGCAGAAGCAAAAACTCATTTGCTTGCCTTAGTTTCCTGCTGGAGAGCTTCCTCTCCCCAATCCAGCTCATGTCTTGATGAGACAGATAAGACAGAACTTCTTGATAAGACAGATTCAGCAAGCCTAGAGTGTTGCCAATTAGTATTTTTTCCTAAGATCTTCGACATGATTTTTTTTTTTTTTTTTAAATTTATGTTTTCTCCCAAGCATAGATGGTCTGTTCAGGTTCCCACTAGTTCTCTTTTGGTACAGGATATTTCTTTGTCTGGTGGATTTGGTGATGTGGAAGTTAATGGATCTCAGTGAAGGCACAGAAATCTTCTTCCTTCTTGTGCAGATCCAGCTGCAGGGATCAAGACTCAAACCTCTTAGGAGTTTTTAGAGCTTCCCTGACATCAGCAGAGGGCAGGAACAGCCTGAGACTCTGTGATAATTTTTCAGAGCAGTAAAAGACTGTAATCAGCTACTGAGTTCTTGCCTCACCTTAACCATATCTTGTTATGCAGCAATTTCTGTAATAATGTTAATGTCTTTAAATGTCAGCTTTTACATCTAAAGAGTGGTATTCCACATTATCTTCATGTTCTTGAAGAAATGGTTTAGCTGTTTTTTCTCTGGAATCAAGGCACTGATGGTCACACTGTTTGTGTGCACCCTGGTAACATCTCAACTAATTTCCAACCAAGTCCAGAAAGAGCTTAAATAATTATTTTATAAAGATGACAGTAAAAGAGAGGCATTAAAAACACCTGAACTCAAATGAGCTGCTCTTCGAGTGTGTCTGCCTTAAACCCTAGAGAATTCCTACAGACAAATGTTCACATCTGTCTGTACAGCTCCCCTTTTCCTCCAAGTATGTCACTTGGAATGGTTAGGGGGAAGAAAAGCCTTGAAAGCACAAGTCCATAAGCAACTGAGCTTTGCCAACTGGGCTTTAGTAATTTCCCTGCTCAGAAATCTACTTGATTTATTCCCTAGAAAACAAAAGGAAAACCAAACCAGGAGGACAGACCAACTCAGAGACCACAGTCTGGTGAGGAGGGAGGGCTAGTGCAGAAGGGCAGAAATTACTTGCACATGGCACAGTGGCACATCAACCTTCCCCTGCAAAGACACAGAAGGGATTGAGAGTTCAGGTTTTCCTTTAATTCTTGAGGGACAGATGCTTCACCTCCCCTTCTGCAGACCCAGTATTGTCTGTGAGCAGTTTTTAAATAGACTGTGAGAATGTCATCAATCTAATGCTCATCTTCCTGCTAGCCCTTTGCCTTCACGTCTGCCTTCAGAAATGGCATTTGGTTCAGTTATGGAGTGAGACAGGCCAGTGTGCTGCCCCATCTTTCTGACAGTCCTGCTAAATCCTCTAGATTTAGTTAGTTCAGCAATTTAATACCTAGAAGGACATATGTTATTGGACTAAACTTAAAAGCAAAGTTGCCCAAACTCAGGAGCATCAAGATTGGTTCTGGAAACATGAGGTTTTTATTAAGTACATCAAACTACCTGTTTTTAGTTAATCTGAGGAACAGATGAAACTGATTTCCCTAGTAGCACCTCAACCATTAGATGCATGCAAAACCACACCACCTTTGTTCATAGTTGCAAATAATTTGCATTTCCCCCTCTTCCTGCAGGTGTCATGGCAAGGCAGAAGGTATGAGAGAACCTCTCATGTGTCCCTGGAGTGCTGCCAGCTTCTGAGACTCCAGGTTCTGCATCAATGAAATGCCACCATGGACAACTTCTGCCCCATGAAGACCCACAGCCTCTCCTCATGCAGCCTTTCACTCCCTTCCCCAGGACCTCAAGAGCCTCCCCAGAGACTTTGGACCCCTCAGCCTGTGCCTTGCACTGGGCACCTGTGGGGGTAGGGGATGGTTCAGTGTATAGTGGAAGTGAAAGAGTCAGACCTTCATCCACTGTCCTGGAAGCCAAGGCTTTCAACCTGCTCTTAGGCCAAACTCCTCTTGAAATGACAGCTGAGTGTGGCCCAAGAGCAGACTGCACTGTTTAGCCCTTGAAGAAGTGTTAAAAACAGCAGTGCCTCAACTAAATTAAGGGTGTAAATTAAGCAGTGGCTGTACCATCACAGGTGGAGGTGTGTTAAATCCCTCTGCTCATTGCCCACTGACAACTTATATATTGGACCAGGTCCAAGACTCAGATTAGACAAATATATTTTTACTCTCAGTCACTTAAATTGGTTACAGGGGAAAAAGCAAGTAAAAGGAAAAGTATGTATTTTAATAAGCATATGGCCATATAAACAGTATCTGGTTCCTACATGATGCTTATGTGCAATTAAGTTGAAGCACATCAGTAGTCTTAAGTAGTCTTGTCACACCCACTAGTGCATCCATCAACTTTTGGAGAACCAGGACCCTGGCTTCTCTTACTAAAGCAAAAGGAAGAGGTTTGCCAGAGTGTTCTATTGGACATGTTTTCAGCTTATCCTGTAGTAAATCTCTGGGTTTTACTTCCATTGTCAGCTGCTTGTACTCAAGACTCTGTGTCCAAGCTGCAGAACGTGTGGAATCATGTTACTTTGGCTTTAAAACTGGGACTGTGCAGTACTGTGTTTTCAAAATTCAGAGCTTTATTTCTCAAGTTTTGTAATAACACTGTATAATAATTTTGTACATAGCTGTCCATTTAAAATTATCTATGTTTGTTGAATCTATGGTGTGATATGTGTTGAAACATAAATCCAGTGGAAGAGCTGGGTACATTTCAGAACTGTTCATTTACATGGTAACTCACTGTGGCTAAACTAATGTGCAGGCCAAAATTTATTTTGCTCTGCTTAATAGGACTTGTAATGTCCTTGTAGTACTGAAAACTTAGAAGTGAAACCAAGAATTAAATCACTGGTTTGCTTTAACCAAGGCATCACTATGAGCATATTGAGAACTGGTCAACAGAAGCAGAGATGAGTTGAGAACAGACACGTGGGCAGGTTCAGTGCAGGAGCCACAGCAGAGTGGCACAGCCCTGTTGTAACAGAAAACTCATTCCTTTTGGCTGAAGCAGGGATTCCCCCAGCATTCCCTGTAGAACTGTGCCACCCAGGTTTGATTTGCAGGACTGTCTCTATCACATCTACAGGTATCTCCCCTTTTTTCCCCTCTTTTCCAGTCTCGGAGCACATCACCCAAGCACCATATTTTTGCTCTTCAGTGTAACTCTGCTGCTCACAGATTAGACTCCAAGCTGCAAAGCCTGAGTATTAAACAACTTCTCCCAGCTCTGTGTTTCCAGAAGAGCCTGAGCCCAGGCTAGCAGTGCACAGCCAAACTCCTCCTCACCACCCCACTGACTGATCAATATCATCATCATCATCATTTGGAGATGCAGGAGTGGGAACAAACAGGTTCTCTGGGTGTTACCTGGGGAACATTTCCTGCTGATGCTCCACTGGATGCTCAATTCAGACGCTACATCATGTCTCCAATTCTCCATCTGGGTCTTTCAGCTTCCCTCATTTCCACCCAGAGAGAACAGCTCATTTCCACAGCCAGAGTTCTTATTGCTCTATATGCTTACCTTGGCCTTAAGAGAGAGGTTTTTTTGGCATTATCTTTCCCCTGCTTTCAAAAGTTTACAAAGAAATGGGTTATTTTGAGCCACCAGAGGCTCTTTGTTCAATAGTCATCTGTAAATTATCTATTCAATCACATCCCAATCAGCAGACTCAAGCAAAACATTTATAATTTATTTCTCAAGAGCAGCTCTGCTTCCACTACAGTGATTTCAGAAGAACAGAAGAAAATAACCAGAGCAGGTCAAAAACTGAAATTCAGCTGGGATGTACAGTTTTGTTCAATTTATGAGCTTGAAATAAAGCTCATAAATGAGCTGAAAATTTTTCAGTGGTTGCAAGACCAAATTAATTATTGGTCTTGGAAATAATATCATGGCCAGTTCAACAGAGCTGTGGTCTTCTAAGTCAACCATGAGTACAGACCTCAAAATAGAATTCTTGTGGTATATTACAGCAACTGCACATGAAGTCTGGTATGTAAACCAGGCTGTGACCACCACAAGCTTCTTGCTGCCAAATAAATGCATCTTCTGTAATTAAGCATTGGCTATGTGATAAAATGAAAATATGAGAGAAATCAGAAGTCTTTTCCAAATATTTCACATCAAAAATCAGATATGTTTAATGAGATGGATTTTCAGGGTTTTTGGGGAGTTTTGGTTGGTTTTTTTTTTTTTTTTTTTTTCTAATACTGAAAATATTTCAAACTTTAGAATAAAAATAAATACTTGGTGAATTTCCTTTTTCTCGTAGGGATGGAGAAGACCTATAATTCATGAGAATTCATCCATCAAAGTCCTATATTTTCCACATAGGATATAAAGCACCTAAGCATAATTGTCATATATTCAAGTAATTGTCATATATGCTTAGCAATAATTACAAATTGTTTTACTCTTCTGCCAGTTCCCTCAGTACCTTTGGGTGGATCCCATCTAGCCCCATGGATTTGTGAGTGCCCAAGTGGCACAGCAGGTCGCTGACCATTTCCTCAAGGATTGTGGGGGACCTATTCTGTTTTCTGTCCCTGTCTGCCAGGTCAGGGGGCTGGTTGCCCTGAGGATAACTAGCCTTACTGTTAAAGACTGAGGCAAAGGCAGCCTTTTCCTCATCTGTGGTGATAATGTTCCCCTCCACATCCTATAAGGAATGGAGATTTTCCTTGTCCCTCTTTTGTTGGCAGTATATTTATAAAAAAATCTTTTTATCATCTTTAACAGCAGTGGCCAGATTGAATTCTAGCTGAACTTTTTGCCTTCCTAATTTTCTCTCTGCATGGCATCTCACCATCCCTATAAATGTTCAAGAAACATCTTGATGTGACACTTAGTGCTGTGGTTTAGTTGGCACAGCAGTGTTTAGTCAAAGGTTGGACCTGATGATCTTGGAAGTCCTTCTCCAGTGTTAATGATTCTTTGAAAAGAAGGAGAGATATAAATGGAGCTGTATCTAGTTCATGAGCACCACCACAGCTTTGCACTCTACTTGAAGCATGGCTGAAATCTCCAAGCTATGCCAATGTCTCTTGGGCTGAGTGTACCATTTGGTCCTCTCCTACATTCCACACAGCCATGGGGGCTGAGAAATACCTTCTGTTCCTCTTAGAAAGAGGCAGGATAAATTGAAATAAAAATACATAACCCTGTTTTAGGAAAATGAACCAGTTTCCATTCCATCTAAATGTAAAGCCTGGATCTAGGGCTTCCTATTTCTGGTACACAGTGATCAACCAAGTACAACATGCAAGCCTACCAATGCTAAACATTAGCTCTGTAGAGACCCTGGCTCATTCTGTCTGTGTGGTAATAGTCATGGCCATGAAATATGGGTGAACATGTTAGTCATGAGGTTATGTCCCCATAATGAGTCTGAAAGCAAATACAGTCATGAGCCAACTCCATCAGAAACCACATTTTGTTTGGTCACCTCACAATCAAAACTGGGCAGGATATGATAAACAGCTTTCCCATTACTGGAAGTGTGACTACAGAGGGTTAAAAATGGGGCAGCGATAGTGACAGGACCTCTCTAGATGTTTGCAATTACTGCATGGTGTCAATCTTGCAAAATAACCACATGATTTGCAGGATTTGCAATGGAAATGAGGTCCATAATAAAGAAAAATGTTTCCAATTCCTTAGTTCAGAGCAGGTACTTAGACCTTAAATATCAGGGGAGAATTTGATCACTGCAAGTTAATCAACACATTCAGCAGCTCTGGAAGTAACTCACCCCTTCATCCGTGCTGTGCTAGCACTTAATTCACATTAGGAGCTCTCTAATGCTCTCTTTGCTGCAGCATAAAAAACTCCTGCAAGAGTTGTGTGTAACAATTCATACAGAGCCAGGTGCTGGTAGGAATTAGCAGGAGTCCTCTGCTTCCCTAATGGAGACTTTAGGCAGGCTCAGCTCGCATTATTCAAAGTCAGAAGACAAGAATCACCCTGTGGCAGTCAGTTCCTATCAAGTCAGTTTAGATACACTCCCAAGCCTGTCAAAGTAGGTTTTTTCTCAGATCAGCAGTCTTTGCTGATGGCATGTACATTATTATGGTTATGGTTGGTTTGCCCTGCTCAGGGCATGTAGAACTTGATGTGTTTGTCTGGTACTTACGTGGCTTCATACAGCATAATCTGCTGTAAGTTTAGTCATGAATTAGTGACAATTAATGACCAAATCCATCAGTCAGAATAGGTGAAGAAAAAGGAGAAGCAGAATCAGCACAAGCAAAAAGGGAAACAAGTCTATGAAATCTGGTCCTGTAATCCTTTGAAACACACAACTTGATTTTGTAATCTAAATGAAACCCTCAATAGCACACAATTCCCAGGACTCATTCTTTGAGACCAACAGGTTTTCTATACACTTTGCCATGTTTTGTACCTCCATTTGTTCAGATTTTCACAGCTCAGACAAAACCAGAGCAGTGATGATGATCCTCTGGAAGGGAGCTTGGACAAAATAATTTCCAGTGTCCTTTCCAACCAATGTTTTTATGATTCTCTGTTCAGCAAGAAGCAGATACAAGAGAAATAGAAAAGGCAGGAGTAATGAGTCCAGAAACCCTTTCAGGTCTCTGTGTTAATCCTCTTTGGTGAACCAGTGTTATACACAGAAGAATATGCCCCAGGGGTAGTGACTGCATTCACCATACCAAGTCTACAAACCCATCCTGAATCACAGACAATTTTTTTTCCTAAAACACCCCCTGAATTGGAGAGACCCCAGGGAAAACAGCACAAGGAGGAGGTTTTCCCCCTCCAAATGTTTTCAACTGCACTACCTTAGTAGAGGTCTAGAGGACAGAGAACAGACCCTGATCTCCACAAGGCATGTTCTGTGACACAGCTGCCTGCAGAGGTCTGGGTGCAAACCATAGCACAAATGTGTGTAGATCAAATGAGAGCAAGCACAGCAATCTCTTCAAACCATGACCTATCTCAAACCTAGCAAATAGCCAAAGATTAAAGCTATTATGTCCTGTCTTTAATCCCTTTAGCTATACAAGGCCCAATTGAAGTAACTGTTGACATTTCTTTCAATTTTCCGCTGCTGATCCTACACCACACCTTCTCCCAGCCTCCTGCTTCTCTGAGTCTGTCCCCATATCCTACAGACACCTTTCCATGGCTCCTTGAACTGCCTCATCACTGCTGCAGGGCCCAGAGGCCAGCGAAGTCTTAGCAGCAGGTGCTTCCTAACATCTGCCACCCAGAGCTGCTGCTGCTGGCCCAGGCTCCTGCAGCACGTCCCAAGGGTCCTGCCTTACCAGCAGCTGCCAAAAAGTGGAGCCAGCTCCCTTAGAGGACTTTTTCATTAACTCCATCCCTAGGGCAGAGTCCACAGGCATTAAGCACACATACTTCACAGCCACATTCCTGCCAGCAGCAGGGGCAGAGTGAAAAGTGAGTTCTTTCACTTTGTTTCCAACAGCTTCCAGCTTTTTGATAAGAGGAAATGGAGGCACAGCAGTAGCTGGATGAGAGGTGAACCTCTTAATGAGAGGTGAACTGCAAAGACTAAAGAGGGTTTTAACAGACAGAGCACTGAAATGAAATGCCAGCAACTTGTGCTACTGAGAGTACTCATTTTCTGCCACTGGCATCCTACGAGGCTGTTTGCAAGTACATAACCTGTGCCTCGGTTTCCCCATCTCTAAACTGGGAGTAATGGCTTCATTTAAAACATTTTGACAAACATTGATGAAAAATACCACAACAAAAATAATGTTAGCAATAAGAAAAAAATTCTCTTTTTCTCTTTACCGTTTGCAGCCGTACTAGAATCATAACAAAAGGAAGAGGGGAACTTGCAAGGAATTACTATTTCCCAAACACCTCTCTGACCCTAGGTTGCAGAAAAACCTTGAAAACCCCTAGTAATTTATCTGAAAGGAAAAGAGTGAATCTTATAGTGAGAAGATTGCTTGTGTAAGAAAGGTTTGAGATTTCTATTATCACCTACGTCTTATTTTTATCCTTGTAAGAATCATAATCATCACAAATAAATTGTGCAAGTTGTAAAGTCAACGGTGAGGAATACTACACCAGGAGCATCTTAATGCAAGTCAGTGCCTGAATCCAAAACAGAGCAAGTGGAGCCCACTGGGAGCTAATGAACAGCTCTGTTCTAGTAAGGGAGCAGCTGTCTGCATAAACAAGTGACTAACCCTGTCCCCAGGTGGGTTGTACCTCCTCCTGCTCAGCTCCAGCCATTTGGTAAGAAGTACATCTTCATATCCTCAAAACTACCTTACACTGCAGGTGTACACTCTGTGCTTACCTTGAATGTGTGTGGGGAACAGTTTTTAAACAACTTCCCCCCCAAGAGAACCTTTTAGGTACTTATGTACAAGAGGAAATGCCAGGTCTTCTGAAACATTCGTTGAAATCCCCATTAATAGTATAATATTGACCTATGGATGAAATTCCCATTACAAAGAAAATCAAGTTTTACAAAACAAAGCAGCCCTACATCAGTCCATTAGCAACACAAGCAGTAAAAAATTTGGAGCGTTTACATAACACAAATTACAGATGTAAGATATTTATTTAATTTGACTTAAAATTCTAAACCCACTGTTGTCAAAATACAGCTTCTCTTTCAAGGCTAATGAGAAATGTGCCTATTTTTAGCATGTCAGTAGTCAGATAAAAAAGTGGAAATGAAAGCCTGTATTGTCGTGGTCCTCAAGCATCATCAGGTCTCCCCATAAAACAAAAGGTGGAGTAGTAGAGCACTGAAAATGTCTTCACAGGTAATTGCAAGTTAACTAATTCCACAGGATCATCAGAACTGGGCTGATGTATTGAGTCAATCTCTGTCCCCTGCCCTGCATAAGCAGCACAAGTGTCAGTGCTTGTCTGGCTGCATTGAGATGTGTGTCTATTAATGTATGTATTCACCGGGGAGGGGAGGCTGCACTTTCTAAGGAGAAATTTCACACAGAGATTTCTTTTTAATATATACCCACAAGCTCATTTGAACATCATCAGCAATGTAAGTTACAGCTGTCTTGAAGTTAAACCAAAGCTTTAATC